GGGATCCAGGCCCCCAGCTCCTCCTCCCCCAGACCCAGGGATCCAGGCCCCCAGCCTCCTCCACCTCTAGGTCCCCAGCTCCCTCCTCCCTGAGACCCAGGAGTCCAGGCCCCCAGGTCCCTGCTCCCCCTGACCCAAGAGTCCAGGCCCAGCCCCTCCCCCAGACCCTGGAGTCCAGGCCCAGCCCCCCCTCAGTCTGAGGAGTCCAGGCGGTAACCCTCTTACTCCCGGTTCCTAGTTAACCAGATCCCTAGCTTCCTCATCCCTCCAACCCAGGAGTCCGGGCCCCCAGCTTGCGGGACCCCAAGATTGCATCATCCGTCCGGCTGCCCTGTCCACGGTGGAATTCTAGCTCTGCCAAGTGGGTCAAATATCACGGGTCAGGCGTGGGGAGGGTGACTGGGCGGGTCTGTCGATATAAATCCTGGAGCTTCTGCATCCATCGAGAGACGCCTGGCCATCGTCAGCTGGAGAGGCACGAAGGCCCCTGCACCTGCCCCGGACGCTAGGCCCTGAAGTGAGTCTGACCACTCAGCTCTCCACCGGCACACCCCGACCGCGCCTGCAGACCTGAGCCATTGATGGGCTGGGACAAGGCCCGGTTCGAGCACCTGGGAGCGTGGGCTCCTGTGCTGGCTGTCCTCCTCCTGGGAGCCTGCCAGGCATACCCCATCCCTGACTCCAGCCCCCTCCTACAATTCGGGGGCCAGGTCCGGCAGCGGTACCTCTACACGGACGACACGCAGGACACAGAAGCCCACCTTGAGATCAGGGCCGACGGCACCGTGGTGGGGGCCGCCCACCAAAGCCCGGAAAGTGAGTGTGGGAACCTGGCCTGTCTGGAGGAGAGGCGGCTGGGGGCCTGGGCTCCGGGATGTTGGGGGAGCTCTGAGTCCCACACCACTTGCTCCTCGCAGGTCTCCTGGAGCTGAAAGCCTTGAAGCCGGGGGTCATTCAAATCCTGGGAGTCAAGACCTCCAGGTTCCTGTGCCAGAGGCCAGACGGGGCCCTGTACGGCTCGGTGAGTCCCGGGCTCTCCTGCACGGTGCTCTTCCTCGGGTCTCTTCCAGTCCAGGCACCAGGTCCTGCTGGTCAACTGGACCAGACCGGGCTCGGTTCTGTGCTCTCTGCACGCCACCGCTCACTGCAGCCCCTGGAGGACGGGGCTGTTATTAAGGTTTACAAGATGAGGAAACTGAGGCCCAGGCAGGGCCACCACTGCCCTCAGTCACTGAGGGGAATAGAGGACAGAGTGGCCAGAGAGCCTGTGGCTCTGGAACCCCCCCTCCTGACCCAAGGACTCGGCTCACGGGGGCGCAGGGATGCTCTGGGGCCCACGGGGCTCATAGAGCAGCCAGGACCTCGGCCAGTGGCCGGACAGCCCTGCCTGGCCTTCGGGCTCCTTGACTGTGCTATGCTGAAATGTTCCCTGCAGAGCGGGGACAGGGAGGTGGCCCTGTAGAACAACCCTGGGGCGAAGGGGGAACCTCCTTTTGGTGTCGTGCTGCCTGGAGAAGGGGCTGGGGCTGGACACCTGGGTCTGAGGGAGGAGGGGCCAGGACTGGGGCTGAGCCCCTGGGTCTGAGGGAGGAGGTAGGGACTGGCCTCTGGGACCCACAGCTGCGGAGCACGGGACGCGGGGTAGCCTGGGTCTCTGATCTTCGTTCTTGCTCCCCCACAGCTTCACTTCGACCCCGAGGCCTGCAGCTTCCGGGAGCTGCTTCTCGAGGATGGATACAACATTTACCAGTCTGAGGCTCGTGGCCTCCCCCTGCGCCTGCCGCCCCATGACTCCCCACATCGGGACCGGACCCCTCAGGGACCAGCTCGTTTCCTGCCGCTGCCTGGCCTGCCCCTGGTTCCTCCAGAGCTGCCAGGGGTCCTGGCCCTTGAGCCCCCCGACGTGGGCTCCTCAGACCCGCTGAGCATGATGGGGCCCTCGCAGGGCCAAAGCCCCAGCTACGCTTCCTGAAGCCATGGGCTGTTAATTAGGGCTCCTCTCCTTATTTATTGGGTTATTTATATTATTTATTTTTTATTTTTCTTACTTGGATAATAAAGAGTCAAAGGGAAGATAACCGTGAGCACCTGTGAGTGTTTGAGGGGGAAATGGATCTGCTTCCTGGACTCCTGTGGGTTTTGAAAGCCCCCTTCCTGCCGCTCCCACTGGGCCTCAGGTTCCTGCCAGACCTGCTCCCACACCTGGCGTCAGCTTTGTGGAGCTACTTCTCAGCGTCCCTCGGTGTCAAGGAGCTTCTACTTTTCAGTTTGTTTATTTTAGGTTTTTGCCATAGGGTATGTGCACTCACCAGAGAGAGAGAGATCACCCCCGAGGGGGCTGGCCGTGCCTCAGTCACTTCTCAGGATCTCGGCCACACTTGCATACACGTATGCCCGGCATGATTTTCAACTCACAGAGTCCGGGACTCGAACCACAGTCGGCTGTATGGGGACTCAGTCACCTTAGCCATCATGCCACCCGCAGGCCCCATTTCTATTTATTTATTTTTAATTGCCAGAGAGCACATGTGCTAACCAGAGAGAGACAGAGAAAGGGGAGGCACCCCCCAAGGCAGCCTGGTCACACCACAATCCCCCGCTCTGTCCTGTCATGGTTTTGGCCACGCACGCACATGCACCCTGGTTTTTCAAACTGCCAGAGTCGGGATTCCAACCGTGGTCAGTGATCAGCCACGTGATCTGGCGCCCTTAACCACTGGACTACCCTCGGGAGCTGGCCCTTAGGAGACTTTTAGAAATGAGGCGCAGTCTCAGCCTCCTGGGAGGTACGGTTTTCTGGGGTCACTGAGCACCAGGAACACGGAGATTGTTGGTCCTGGATCCCGGGGGTGGGCTGGGTGCTAGGGTGGTACTTGAGTACTGAGGGATCCGAAGGCTGGACGTCTGAGCCCCTGCGTTGACAGGGAAATGGGACCTCCACACCCTGAGGGAGGAGGAGCTGGCGCTGAGAGTCCTGGGTCTCCGAGAACTGGAATTTCCAAATTCTGAATTCTCCCATTCAGGCGCCTGAGAGTGCTGGAGTGTGGTGACTCCCACAGAACCAGTCCCAGCAAGCCAGCTGCGCGGTCCCCTCCCTCCAGTCTGGATTTCCATGTCATTTAAATCATACCCTGGTTAGAAGAAGTAAAGAAAGAGAACACGCCACCCAAAGGGTATGAGTCAGCCTGTCCGATCGCAGGTCGGACGAACCTGCAGCCTCGTGAGTGTTGCAGTCCTCAGCTCTTAAAAACAATTATATTAATTTTTGCCAGAGTCCAGAGAGGAAAAGTGAGAAGGCACACCCCCATGGGTGATGGCCACAGGACGGTCCCTCCTCTGTTCTGCCTTTTGGGAGTTGGGGCACGCACTCCTACACAATCTGCGTTTTCAAGCCAAGCCTGGGCCTCAGTGCAGGTGGTCAAGTGGAATCCCACTGTCGTAACTAGCAGGCCACCACCTGGCCTGTCATTATTCCTTTTAAAGATTATTTATCTCGGGAACCAGCAGTTAGCGTAATGGCTATGTCGCTGGACTCCCACGTAGTCGACCGCGGTTCGTGTCCCGGACCCGGTGGCTTAAAACTCACGCCGGGCGCGTGTGCGTGCGTGCCCAAGATCCCAAGAGGAGAATGGAGGAGAAGGGATTGCGGCATGTCCATTCCCCCTGGGGGTTGATTTCTTTCTTTTCCTGAATAATTATTTAGTCCTAGGTATGATACTAGATGCTGGGTTTTAACTGTTAATAAAACTATTAGGTTGTTGGGAGAGTCATGACATACTTTTCTATGTTTTCTATGTAAAAAAATGCATTATGACTTTCCCAATGAACCAATAATATGATTTCTGCTTCCAGGAAGCTTTATTATCTAGTGATTAAGTCCCTAAACTCCAACTTAGGAATCGCCACTCAGTGTCTTCTATAAATAGAGATAAAAGCACCCACCTCATCTGTCCCTGTGTGAGAAATAGATTATACAATGTACAGAAGATATGGTAATTTGCATAATGTCTGACACAAAGTAGGCTATTTGAATCTACTCTATCCTAAATTATAACTATTTTTATTTAATGAAAATATATTGAAGTGTTCTCTGTATATGTTTGTGTATATGGAGATTTTGTGGGTATTTACAAAGTATGTGATGGAGAGTTGATAAGGAAAGACAGACATCTTACTTGGGCAAAAGTCCAACCAAGGGAGACACTGACCTCCCAGAAGGGCAGTGGATTTTTGTCATAAAAAAATAGATTGTTAGTTAGACTTGAAATTTGTGTTGGATTAAACAGGAAAACAATATTTAAGGTATGTTACTCATATTAATTGCCATTGAAATGTACTTTGGATAACTTGATCAGCTTCCTCCCATATTATGACCATTCTAAGAAGGTTTATGGATAAATTTTAAATGTGTGTTTGTTTATTCCTTAAGGAGTGATTTCCATATTGGACTTTTTGATAAGCTATTCAATAATCTATCAGACTTTAGTGTAGAGAGGGCAGTGGTAACACAACACTTTGTGATGCCAGATTCACATGAGAAGGTCCTGGGTTCGTTTCAGAGAGAGACAGCCTCCCCCCCCCCCGAAACAGGGTCTTCTACTGGGATCCACCTCAGACCCCGCTGGGGGGATCCCAGGCAGGTTCGTATGAGCCCTGCGTGCTCAGAGAAGCCCCTGGGCGTGAACCCAGAACCTCCCCCATGTGTGTCCAGTTGTTATATCAGAGCCACCACCTGCCCTCCGCTCTTCGTTTTAATTTCAGGGTTCAAGTGAGAGGATTATCTCAGTAAAAAGGATCAGAAATGTGGGTCTCAAAGGGCCTGGTGGGGTTCCGTGCCAAGAGAAAGTCCGCCCGCTGTGGGGACTGCAGTTTCCACGCTGACATGCTGCAGAGACCTCTCCAGGGACAGAGACAGAATCCTAGGGGCCAGCAAGCTGGGAGGAGTGGCTTAGTCCTGCTGACTCCCTAAGGTGTCCCTACTCTTAGGTGAGGCTGCATGGCTTGTCCAGGAAGGGACAGTCACCAGGGGTGTCAGGGCCAAGAAGAAGGGCTGGGCACCTTCCCACTGGCCTGCCACACAGCGCCTGAGACCTGGGACACACCTGCAGGAGGGGAGAAGGGCTGGGGGGGAGGGGAGAAGAGCTGGGAGCCTTCCCACCCACCTGCCCCGCCATGCTGGGCCTGAGACCTGGGGGCAGGGCTGGGGGGAGGGGAGAAGGATGGGAGAGGCCAGATTACAGTGAGGGGGACAGAGACATGGGGGGAAAGGCAGAGATGCAAAGACAGAGATAAAGGCCCAGAGAAAAGAGGACAGAGACCCAGAGAGAGGAGGACAGAGACGGAGAGAGAAAGAGAGAAAGAGAAAGAACAGAGAGGGATGGAGACTCCAAGGGAGGGGCGTCAGGCAGGGAACTGGAGAAATGAACTGGGACAGGAGCACTTCACTGGGCCCGGACCTGGACCCGGCTCTGTGGAACCTCTTCCTGGGTAGGACGGGTCCCTTCCCCCACGTGTGGGGTGACTGTCCATGGGGAGAGCCGCCCTGAGGCTGCTGCCTCTGGGGTCTTCTGTCCTTCTCAGGGTCCACCCAACTCCTGGCAGGTTCCATAAGATGAGATCAAAGCGTGGCCTGTGGGGGGATAAAAACGCACCAGAGGGGCCAGCAGTTAGCGTAATGGCTATGTCGCAACACTCCCATGTAGTTGACCACGGTTCAAATCCCGGACCCGGTGGCTTAAACTCACGCTGGGCGCATGTGTGTGCATGCCCAAGATCCCGAGAGGAGAAAGGAGGAGAAGGGATTGCAGCGTGGCCATCCCCCCTGGGGGGTGATTTCTCGCTTTCTGTCTCTCTCTGTCTCTCTCTGTCTTCTGGCGAGCACTCACGCCCTATAACAAAAAACTCTCCAAAAAAAAAAAAAAAAACCAACCACACCAGAACCAGAACCACGAGGTCTTGCCTACTGGCACATGGGAACTATGCTGGGATCCAGCCTGGGTAGGGGTCCGGGGGTGGAGGGATGGAGGCTGGGAGTGACTTAGCATTGACGTGGGCTGGGTGTCTCGATGGATCCTAGGCTGCTGTTCTGTAGGGCCTGGGAGACTCCAGTGTGCTTCCCGTGGGCTTCAGGAGCTGCACGCGGGCTGAGACGCGGCCTCCTGCGTGTGCACAGGGCGGTCCTCAAGGTGGGCCCTGGAGACCAGCAGCAGCCTGGGAAGGGGGCAGGGAGGCACATTCTGGACCCCAGAATTTGGGGGTGGGTCTCTGAGACCAGAAAGTTGACAACTTCTTTGCGTCCGGGAGGCTGCTCCTGGCGACTCTGCAGCCATCACCATGTCACAGCACGAATATATTGAATTACATCCTAAACGCTATGGACGCCGTGTGGATTACCCCGAGAGAAAGAGAAAGAAGGAAAGTCAGGAGGCTCGTGAACGTTCAAAGAAACCAACAGAGGTGACTGGTCTGAAGGCTAAGCTCTGTCATCAACAGCCATGCTGAGAAAATACAATGAAAAAGGCTACCGAGAGGCACGGAAAGAGGAACGCCAAACAGAAGAGTGATGAAAAGACCCACAAGGAGCAGCTCCTGCCTGTCCGCTGGACAGAGAAGGACGGTCCCGAGCTAAAGTACTTTCCAATACGATTGAACAAAAACGGAAAGAGAAAGCGAGAAAGTGGGAAGTCCCTCTACCCCAAGTTCGAGCCCAGGGAGAAACGGAAGTATTAAAAGTTATTCGAACAGGAAAGAGGAAGCAGGCATGGGAGAGGATGGCACAGAGCCTGCTTTGTTGGAGACGCTTTACTAGAAACCACCTAAATAGGAGTGATGCATTAGGCCCACGGGCTTAGGTTTCAAGGAGCCCCACGTAACATCCTGAGCTGAACGCCGCCCTTTGCCCGCCCATACTCCGTGTGAAGGAGACTCCCTCAGCCCCACTGTGTACAACTCCGGTGTCACCACCAAAGGTGCTGTCACTGAGGTGAACGTGAGCGAGTTGGGCCTTGTGACACAGGAGGTAAGGCTCTGTGGGGGAGATGTGCCCACGTTCCCAGTAGTCCTGAAAACGGTGGCTGC